TTTCATCATGAGACGTCATAAATATTCCGAGTTAAAATCTAGAACACAGTTCATTGAATCAAGCTAAGAAGAAGCATGATCTATATTACCGCTACATATAGGACAAATACATGATTATATGAATAATACAGTGATACATGAACTAACAAATAACTGTAGTCAGTGAAAGTGTCTCCGATGAATAATCCTGGTTGCCTAATAAAAAAACTGACTTCTTTCTTTTCCATTCTTTTAGCTCAGTGAATAAAATAAAGTGATTATGTATTCACAGGAACAGAATAACCATTTGACATAAACGTAGAAGTAGCACCACAACTGCTAGTAGAAATATTTGAATACGATTCACAAGGTACAGAGAGAGTCGATGCTTTTGTACGTTGTTCGTACGAATTCTGTTAGACACAGAATGCTACGAAACAATGGAATGCTAAATATTATTTGTTGTATTCATACATTTTTCTTTCATTTAAAGAAGGTAATGATGAAATGAATCAATAATAATTAGTTTTCATATGATTGACTTCATTATTTAAAATATCAGTTATTATTTTAACCCTGACTGGCTTTCACATAGAACACTATATACAATACAAAATATGAAATTACTGGAACAACAGCTGCCATAAAGGTTTACGGTGAAGGTATGGCCAGAGATAGATGTTGGTCGGCAGTGAAATAAATGACGTGTTTTAACCTCTTTGGTATTCGTCAACTAACTGAACCTTAAATGTTCGTATATTAACCACCCTCCTCATGTGTACAGAATCAATTTATCAAAAGCTTGAATTTACAGTTTTAATTTGTGGGCACTCTGTACAGTCTAGGCTAGTGTGAAAAGTTTCGGTCTAATGATAAAACGCTCTCGTTTTTTTCACCGCCCTGTGTTTTTTTGAAATTTTATTCATTTGCCTTGTATTATCTCACGTAGTAACTGAATTGACAAGTGTCCATCCATATTTGACGAGACTGATCTATATTTATGAACCCGCTTCAACAACTTTTTCAGATCAACTACATGTTTCCATTGTTTTCTCTATGGAAAATGTCTATACGGCGAGGCTGATATTCAGAAAATTTGTTAAAAATAAAATTAGGTACTCACAGTGTTTTCATTATTCATCAAGTGTATATTCATAAATAATTGGCATCTTTCATGTTCTACAGATAACGTTTCTAGCGAAATAAAATTCATGCAAAGCTCAGTTGTTGAATATTCAACACTTCACTAGAACACTGTTCAATAGTCCGATGCAAAAGAGCACCTTTTGACGCGAAAACCATAAATCACCATGTGCTCACTAATTAGATAGATGCCCTGAAATAAACCAACGTAAAACCAAGAAATCTTACTTGACGGAGACGTTTTGGAGGATATAGAATCCTTTACACGTCTGAACATCATCGTTCGCGAGCATGGCGTATTTGATGCAGATTTGATGGAGCGGAACAGAACAGCAACTGAAAAATTTCCACCCCTGCAAATCAGAACCCTTATCAAACATGAACAAAGTGACAATCTTCAATAAAATTGTTCGGACATTTCTACTGCATAGGGTTTAAACTTAAGGGAACCTCAACTGCCATCATTCAGCAGATAGTAGTGTTTATTGCCAATTTTCCATTCGTTGGCTTGACATCGTGAGCAGCAGGCCACTATGTGAGATAACCAACCAGGTGACAGTGGAAGACGAAATTATCAAAAATCGTTAGGAGGATGAAACTGAATCAATAGACAAACCCCCACTTCGAATCCTCAAGGTTTAGAGAATATAGGAAATCAAGGAACACCTTACACCGTGGAACTGAGACAGACATGAAAAGACTGAACAATAATTACACTGAATTGCAGAATGCTTGTGCAAAGAACGATACTCCATTGAGGGTAACATGCCTAATTACGTATGAACTGATTATGTCAATTATTAAAAAAAAGTACGTTTGATTTTACAAGCTTCACTTACTTGATGATTTTAAAATTTTCTTCCGAACATGTAATCCACTGGAGTGTACTGTTTTCTGTTCATTGAAAGTTACGAAAAGAGAACACCAAAATGTCCATATTTCTTTCAGGTAATAAGTGTGTTTAACCACAAAATCATGGAACAAGATGGATTATGGTTGAAAATGAAATACAGAATTCTTACTTTATCTAATTCCAAACTCGATACTCAAATATTACACCATAAAAGACTCATTGATTCCAGTCGTTATATCATCAAAGGAAACATTCACCACGATACAAGCAAATTGAAATAAATACTATTTTCAATAAGTCACCGCTTTGTAATTTTGATTAAAATAACGCTTTTGTACTTCATTGAAAGGTTAATACTAATTGGATGCTATGGGAAAATGGTGCATGCATTTATTGAATCCGATTAACACGAGAATGAAAATCGTACAAGCATAGCGTAGCAAAGTTGTAGAAAAGAGTCAGCCCATTTATTAAAGGATGACTAGCTATTTTTGGTCCGAAAGCATTAGCAGAGAATGTAATTAGCTGGTTTATCATTGCACGCATATTTTTGAAAAAACAACAAGATAAATCGAATGGTTGACAATGTCAAAGGACAGGCGAATATGAACTTGAGA